CAGTTGTGGTGTCATTCAGCAAATCAATAGAAGTTTGCATTAATGGAGTTTAAATGTTCAACAGGCATAAATTTTCTTGCTGTCACTGAGTAGGTGGATTTGTCTGCCTGCTCTAAATCTTACCTTTTGTATTTACCCACAGTATGCTTGCAAAAAAAAGGAAATTAATTTGTTTATGATACTTTTATTTTTGTCTCTGTTTTGGAAAAAATAAAAACCTTTTGCTGATACATCTGGTACTTTTAGGGCTTAAAAACAGCTCAATTGATTACTTTTGATTTAAAAACTTCTCAGAAGGAAATTGTGTAACAAGACTGGGAGCTCAAATACGTGAGTTTTGGCAAAGAGCTGCGGAAGAAAGGCCTGGCTGTAGCAACCTCACAAGAAAAGAACTTGACATTTTGAAAAATTTTTATTGACCGGTGTGAACAGGGAACGGGAAGTCAAATCACTCTCACAGGCAAGCTGCAGTCTCTTCCTTGCTGACCTTTAAATGCCACTTAGTGTCATTAGAAAATCAAGGAAATGCTAACAACAGGACTTTGGATAAGAGAGTTATATATCAGGGATATCTTTTGAAAACAAGCATAATCTGACTTCTATTTTTATACACATTATTTTTGAAAAATGGAATTCTGACAGCAGTATGGTTATATTTTTAATAGATTAATCTTACATTATTTTATTAATATTAACATTAAAATCTTCAGAAGTATCCATAAGATATCAGAGCTTCTCTTCATTCTTGAAAAGGGAGTAGTTTGCAAGAGACATTTTATAATTGCGTTCTAGGTTGATGACCTTAGAACACAGACTGGCCTCTGCTTTGGGCTCTTCATCTAGCTTGTGTTGGATTCAGCAGGCTATGGATGTTGGCAGTCTTGTAGAAAGTTGACTTCTCAGTGTCTTTTGAAAATGGGACTCGTATGCCTAAGTCACCCGGTTACTCTGAGCCTTCATACTTCTGTGTTTTTAACAGCCCCTCCTTGCCCTTCCAAAAAGTCTTTGAAAGCTAAATTTCAACTAGAAAAACTAGTAGGAAAAATCCTAAAAATAAACTGCTTAACCCCAAAGAAAGCATTACATAAAAGCTTGCATGTTACCAAGAAAGCACGTACATTAGAAAAAAGAAAGTTCCTTAGATTTCAGGAGTTTAATGAGAGAGAAAAAATGAGCTGGCAAATAGGACATGACACAATGGATCCATGAAGCCCGATGGCACTGTATACAGGTGCTGCAGCGGTTTCTTGCGTCCTTCCAACATCTACTTCATGGAATTGAAATGGAGTTTAGTCTATGGTTGTAGTTCAGTAAACGTTCAAGACCCTTGCTCGACTAGGGTATAACTTGACTGCTGACCTGTACTGGTGTATCTGTGTTCATGCTGGGTTTGCTTTGGCTTAATTTGGGGGGGGGGGGGGGGGAGAAGCAATTTCTTTTTTCTTGCTACTTTGCATTACTTAATTGTTGTTCGAACTGCTAGCAAAGTGCTCGAACACTAGCAGTCTGACGGAGACAATGGTTTTACAAGCTAGGAGACATTTTTTAAAGCTCCTTATATAATTCATTGCCATGAATTTTCTTTTTCTAACGTGATTTTTCTTTTTTCTTTTTTTCTTTTTTTTTTTTTGGCAATGCAGTTACAAAACACACAGGTTGTAGGAAATTATTTTGATTTTGAGCAGAACATTCATGCTAACCTGTTTGTCAAATGGAACACAGGATAAGGGCCAACTTTTTTAGCCAGCTACCTTGGCTGCAATATTTGAAGTTGGCTTTCCTCTCACTTACACTGCTGTAATTTGAGTAATTCCGCTGAAATCGATCCATTGATACAGATTAAAACAACAAGAAATAAGAGGTGGTTTGGGTAAGAGGCATTTACATATCAAGTCCCTGCAAGTTTGCATAATTAATGTTGTATGTTCTTAATAATTGCCTTGCTAACCTGTCTGAAACCCAAACCTCTCAAATCCAGTGATTTGGAAAGAAACTGCCCTGCATCTAACACGACAAAACTACAAAAGCTGAGTAAGATGTTGTCTCTCTAGAGTAGGTTTATAACAAAAGACGGGTCAGTTTTGTTTATAACAAAACACTTAGGTCAGTGGTGTCTGTCCAGTGTGGGGTTTTTTTCTCTTAAAGCCATTGAAAAGGACTACACACATGGGAGAGCTTGAAGGTCTGCCTCCAGTTAGACTAAGTTGAAGTTGTCCTCATTCCATTCCCCTGGAAGCCGTAGAGAGTTTTTATTTTAGGGGAAGAGTCTTAACATGAGCATTCTTGAAATACTTACTTGATAAATCATGGGCTTGATATAAAGGTTAGACTTGGAAAAGAAAACAGATTAATTTCCAAGGTTTTTATTTTTTCTTTCATTAAAATCTTTTTATTATAAACTATTTATAGTGTCATGTAAGTTTTACATTCTTTTGCTAATCTTCTATTAGGAAATCCAAGCTTTAAAAAAAAACCCAAAGCTTTAAAATATTTAGTTGTTCATTACTGTATTCCTTCACAGTTATCTGTTGCCTGGAAAAGGATTCTGCTGGCTCTTCAGCCACAAGACCTTGAGGTAGAATTGAGTAGGATATTAATTTAAAACTGGTTACATCCTATCTGCTTACCAGTATCCTGTATTTGTAACGCTGGGAGGGAAATCTTCGGGGGTTTTTATTATTTGTGTACATCTTTAAATCTCTTAACAAAATTTCTCAACTATTTTATCCAGGAAGGAAAACCAAAGAATTAAAGCAGTCACAAGAGCTGTGAACTGCAGAATACACTTTAAGATTATTTTCTTTAGGTTTTTTGTAAGGTGTGAAAAGAGGAGACTACTATATATTTCACCCTGTGAACCCTGTCAGTTCTTTGAGAGTAAGCAGACTTTATTTGTTAGAACCAGGTACAATATGCACTGAGAATGACTTAAAACTTGTAGGTTACAGATGAGATCATTATTTCCACTGCCCAAGATATAGGGCCAAGAGAAGAGTATATTTATTTGTAAGATTAGACCCAATCTTTTAAACCCAGCCTTCCACTTTGAGCTTTTTTCTTCACTTGCTGGAAAGGTGAAGAAGCTATTGGTGCTCTTCAGTTCAGAGAAGTTGGTGATGAAAAAGATGTGGCAAATACTTCTTTAATCCTTCAGTAGAACGCTAATCAATCAGAGAAGACCAATAACATGCCCTGTTTGTGCTAAATATACTATTCCAAGATGAAGTCTGCTGTGCAGCACGCAGCATGAAAAATAACAAAAGCATCCAACTAATAATATTAAGTCAGTGACAGTTACCACATGCGTAGTAAATGCAGGACAAGACAGAAAACAGTTTTCTGCCTGCATTTAGCATTTTCAGTTCCTTTCACAGGAATCTATAGAACATTGAACTGTACCAGGCAGTCAGGAACGAACCTGTATTACATACATCTTTTGGCATTGCTGTGTTTTTTAGCTCTTTATGTTTCATCAGTGCTTCCTCAACAGTCCTAAAATTAAATTAATTGTCTGAGCTTGCTGTCCCATGTTTTTAATTCTTACCGAAGATTGCACTGGGAAATTGTGGAAAGGAGTTATCATGCCATGTCACAAGTCAAAGTCACTGCAAGTCACACTCCTGTGGAAATCCACCACAATGACGAGGCAGCCGTAGAATTGAGGCAAAGCATTTTCCAGCACTTTCCAGATTAGAGAACTTAGTTTCAAAGAACTACCTCTTTTATTTGGAAAGTGATGGGATTTATGGTAGCCTTTAGTTTTCTCCCAGTACATATTCTGTGGTTTTGGACAAAATTCCTCCTGAGAGCTTTTATGTCCTCAATGAGTTTTGCAAGTGCCATAGCATGTTCTGTTGTGATAAAAACAGCATTATCAACCATGGTCATCAGCCTGTGCTTCCAGAACAGGGATCCTGCTCCAGCTCACAGTGAATGGTATCAGTGGTGATTTCACAGAAGCTGTTTCTGAGAAGTGTCTGTCTTAGAACTTAATTAAAAGGTTACATTTTCAATTTAATAAGGAAGCTTCTCTTAATTAAAAATAGCAAAAGGCGACTCACAGGTTTTGAGCGAAAAGTTTTTGCGAGGGCTTTATTAGCAGATTAAAAAATAATTATGTTGAATTAAGCATTACAACTAAATTAAAAATGCACTTTTTCATGCAATCATGTTTCCTAGTCTTTCCTATTTGCAGACTTATCACTATATGCATGTATTTCTGTTTATATATTAATATAAAAATGTATTAAGGCCTTGGTCTGAAATCAGTGAAACTTTTTCCATTGATTTTATTAAGTTTTCAATGAGAACTAAAGTAATTTTTAACATTAAGGAGTTACTGAAATAGTTTCTGCTTCTACTTTCATCTGGGCCTGTTAAAATCCAGAGTGGTGCCTGTCAGTAGGACTTCTTTTGACCAGGTTAAATGGTTTTTTTCAGTAGATTGTAAATGATTGTGCTTGATTGTGTGTGTAAATTGGAAATAATTTGATGGTAGCAGAGTTTCTCTTACATAAATCTGCAGAGAGGACTCAGGTAAATTGGACAGATTGGTAATAAAATAGACAAGCCTGGGACAGAGACAGCATATGATTAATACAGTGTTCTCATATAAGAGTAAATCTTTCTTTCAGAAATGTATATTGCTTGTAATTTAAATACAACTGCAAATGTATTTGAATAACCATAATTAGGTGCCTTGATGAAGCTTATATTTTAAATAGCAAGCAGCAGCAGTGTTCCCATCAATACTGCGGTTAAACTGCAGTAGGTGCTCATCGTGCCTCCTGACTTAATTAATGTTGCCTGTAGGCTTTGTGCCAGTTGACCTTTACAGGTTTCCAAAAGTTACGGTTTGCGATTCAGCAAGTTTGGCAGAGGAACATACATGATTATTCATATCATTATTTAAACGGTGACCAGATGTGTCTTGTTTTTCTTCTTTCTTTCCCATTGTTTTTAAAACATGATGCTAATCCAAGACGTTGCTCCATTTACAGGGTTTTTCCACAGCACCAAATTCCCCATCGGTGAATTCTCGTTCCAGTAGCCTGGGTCCATCACTGTCCCTTGGTAACATCTCAGGAATAACAGCAAACCCAGAAGTGAAAAAGCGCAGAGCACCTCCTCCACCAGTTGTGACACCGGTGTTGCAGAGTGTGGAGATGAGTGGACAAGAAAACACAGCAGCACAGGTAACAGTGACATCACAGAATGGGCTTTCTTGCTTGGCGTGCTGGCTACTGTCGGTTCATTCATCAAGGGCTAAAACCATTCACAGGTATTTTGGCTAGCAATTAACTACAGCTCACTAAAATTCTTGATCTTACAAAATAAAATTATCAGAAGTCTTGGATTTTTGCACATATTTACTGAGCTTTCTTTGGACTGCCCTAAGCTTTCTCCCATGTCAAGAATCTTTCTAAATCAGAAAAGTTTTGTGAGGCATTATTCCAAAAGAAGGAGGTTGAATAAAAACTAAGGCAGAAAAGGTGGAAATTTATTACAGTGACTTGATATCCTTATTGGCCAGGGCAGTCCTGGAAAATGGGTGACAGTTCCAATGACTGATGAAAATCTTCAGTGTGCTTTTTTGCCCAGATACTTTTCAGGCTGTCGCCTACATCCGTATTTCCAGTGCTGCCGTGGGATACCAGATAATCTGCTCTGCTTTCTGAGTTGTGCCATGTGACCTTTTAAAGCAGTGCTCTGTTTTTGCTTTCAAAAAAGGTCACTGTTCCGCAGTTCAGTTATCGAGAATTAAACAGAAATGGGGGGAAACCTTTCTGAGGACCTAACCCTTTGAAAAGAATAGAGTTAAGGGAAAAGGAAATTGTTCTTGTTTTTATAGTGACATTCAGGTATGTATGTTACTAAACATGCTCAGGCACATTAAAACCTCTGGTTCCACCATTAACAAAAAGTAATACATTCTAAACGTAAACTGTAAAAGTCAGTGTATAAAGCTATATATGGATGCCAAATAAGAATGCAAGTAACCAATACCTTCAAAGTTGCGTAATGTGGACTGACTCTGTCTGCTTAGGGCTTGTCTTCTCTACAGCAGACTGATCTTTGAAAAGCAAGCTGTATTAGTGCAGAATGGAGTCAGGAAGGAATCTTGGAGTTCAGTGTATTGTGAGAGAGGATGAGTCTAGTACTCAACCTCACTCCCTGTTGCTCTTCTATTTGTCTGCGTTAAGACATACATTAAGTGCCTTCTCCAGTGAAGCATTGTGTAAGCAAAGTTGATGCACACTCTTGGTAAAGGATCATGGAATCTTCTTTTCCCATTGTTAGGATGTCTAAAAGTGTGATTGCTGGAACTTAGCAGTGTTTGATCCTTCAAAATTGGAATGATTGCCTTTGAAATAGCACTCATTTATAGACACAGCTGAAGAGAAACAACAGTGTTTTCTTGCAACATTTGGTGCACTTTCTTTTTTAAAATTTCCTTTTGCAATTCCTACTGTAAATATTTTTATGAGATTTCTTGTGTACCCCAGAGTTAATTTGTGTTTAACATAAATAGATCTTTTCATCCAAAAATACTATGGCATTGTAACTCTTAAGTTTATACAAGTATGGTAATCACAGACTATATTATTCTGCCATTCTCTTAGGCTTATCTCCCTGCAGTGCGGCATTGAGATTTTAAATTGCGTTGCACAAAACCACTGAAAATATGAACTCTCTTTAAACATGTCAACATTTCTGTTTTCAGCATAATTGTAAATAGATTCAAGTTCTGGTTTTCTGAAGCCATTGGGAGAAAAATATTTAGTTTATTTATCGTAAGTAGCGTACAGTACAGTGTCAACTTCAAGTTCTCTTAGTCTAAAGGAAAAGTTAATTCGAAGACGGGAAACAGATGAAGGTTGCGTCAGACGATTTTCCATGATGAAATTAATTTTGGGCAATAGAAATGTCATGTGTAACTGACAAAGGCAATGAACAGCACAGTAGATTATGAGCACAGTTGCTAGAGTCTGTTTGGCTGCATTTTTTGGGTACAGGACATCTTTCTGAAGATGGTTGCATAGGTCAAAATACTAAGCATTTTTGGTGTGCTTCTGAAGCTCTCAGGCTGAAAGTTGCTCTCAAGCTGCCTTGTAGTTCGAACAAGAATGTGTGGAGTACAGTTGAAACGAAGCACAAGTTCCATGAAGCAATCAAAAACTAAGGGAAGAGATTAATTATTCAGTATTATGTGGCAAGGTAGTAACAGAGATACTGTTTATAAGAAAACCCAAACAGTTCTATTTTATCTACATGCAGACTATCCAGTTTGCTGTGAAAATAGAGTAAAAAATCTCAGGGTGTAAGTTTATGGGAAAGAATTAGCACTGATCTTTTTTTTCAGGGAAGGACGTCAATGCCGTATTAATGGACTTCCTTCCATAAAAAGATAAGATGTTTGTTTAGAAAACTTTATTTATGTGCAACTGTTACTAACAGGAAGATCCTGCAAAAGGGGAACATGTTTATTTCCAGTGAAGCTAGCACATTAATAGAAAATGGAAAAGGTGGTATTCTGAACTTTCAGAAGTTTTTTTTCTTTTTTAACTATCTGGTTCCATAAAGTTCTGTAGAGGAGTGAATTCTGTATGTTAAGAATACCTGTAGCTTGACTATTTAACCCCATCAGCCCATTATTTTTAACCCATTGTTAAACTCCAGGGCATTGAATTATGCTTACAGCACAGGTTTTTCTTTAGGAATATATATCTCATCTCCCTGCCTAGTGGTTGCAATCAGAAATTTCCACGTGTATGAAGAATGGGGTGTTTTAATTTATGCTCTAGATTTAGTTTTTCTCCACTGACTTTTCTGGATAGGTGGGTTACTGCAATATAATTTTGCTATATTGCAGCTTTTGCTTCTGTGGGCTTGCAGTAATTTACCTCCTTGAGGGTAAAGCCCCTGCAGTAACTTTAATTACTTGTCAGTGCAGAAACATTAGTTTTCCGTGTCTATTTAAAGGTAGTGTTCCCTCCGTAACTGTTTTAAATCTCCTCTAGAAAATATTAATTTCTGTTCAGAGTACCACTGAGCAATGTTTTGGTTTGTGCTGAACATGCACTAAGTAGTTTGCAAAGGAATGCAGAGTCAAAGAAAGGAGTTTACAGATTTCTTCCCTGGAGAATTGCCCCATTTTTTTAAACAGCTTCCAAGTGATGCTATTTAGAATAATGAGAAGTCTCTTGAAAAAAATATTTCTTCAAAGTACCAGGGTATGGTAACATTTCCAGTATGAAATGCAAAAGGTTGGATGCTTTAGAAGCAAGGAGGTCCCCTCCTTTCTTAAGTTGCAACACAGAGCCCACACCATCCAGAGAGTAGAGCAGAACAGTGTAGGGGGTGAGCAGAAGCTGAGCCCCGTTTGGAGACAATCTCTGTTCTCTGTCACAGCACTTTAGATGATGTGCTGGCAGAATTTAGGGCCACCTTATGCTAGGCATAGTGTAAACTGAGTCCCCACCTGAAAAAGCATGCACCATATAAGCAAAATATATAAGAGAAAACCTGTATGAATATGCCACTGTAGATAGAGCATGCAGAGAAAGGCAACGTGTGAAGTCTGACGGAATTAAACACATCTCCTCAAAGGCTTATTCAGTGACCTCACTTTGAAAGAAAAAGAAATGTGTTTGGGTCATCTTTTGGAAGAACTGTTGAATTGAGTATATGAGTCTTTTGGAGGTCAAGAATACTGTGCACTGGCAAAGGAGTTTATGGGAATAATTCCTTTTATTTTTAACATGTACGGGGAAATACAGACATTGGAGTGAGAGGGGATGATAAAGAAGGCCTCAGGGACTTTCTGTTAGAGCCTTTTCTACAAAATTGAGTGGTTTAGTCAGAATAAAATCATGAGGCTTTTTGGAGATGTCATCAGAATTAGAAGAGGGCTCTTCAGTGCCTTCATCTGTATAATAGCTCTGATGTCAACTCCAGAAGCCAGAAGTGCAACCTGTAGACTATGATAAAGGAGCTGTGTGCTGTTTCAGTTGCTGCAGTTTTCAGAAAGGAAGCATTTTCATATAATACATAGATGTAAAAGGAGGCATCTGGGATTTGTTCCTAGCCAGTCGAATTCCTATACTACTAATAGAAGAACAGGGTGATATAACAGATAGAATATTCTAACATTTGTTTCATAGATTTTAATCTTAGTTGTCATATGGCAAGACAATGGATTTAAACAAAAATTGTATTATTGCTTTTAGTGCAGGTGAGGAACTGGCCTTACACTTTCAGAAGGTTCCATTATAAAGCAACACAATTTTCAGGTTTTATTTCTGTGTTTATATAGTTTCCTGGAGGTTGCTGTAGACCAACTAACATATGTGACATACTGTAGGTTTTACTCTGCTTCTTACATTCCTCTCTTCTCCATTTAGAGCTCAAACTTGGGTTACTGAGGACAGCTGTTGACTCCCATTCTTGGAGAAGGCCACACCTTTAGAGCAGACTACTTGCCCCCAGTGTTTTATCAAGGCTGATGTTTCACCAAGAATAACTTACTCATTAAAGAGTCTTACTTAACATGAATAGAAAGGAATGTTGCAGCCAAAGAGGGTCACAGCCTTGCTCAGGTCATTGCTGGCAGGTTTCTTTCTCCCTGCCTCCAGTTTATTTTTGACCAATTTTATGCCCAAATGAGAAGTTCAACTTTGTCATTTTAACATGAACAAATATGAATGAGACTTTCATATCTTTCCTGGAGAAAATAAGGTACTCATACTAAAAACTGCTAATAGAGAAGATACTTCCAGTATTTGCTGTACGTCTTATTAAATGGAAGGATTTTAAAAATGGGGAAATGCAGAGGAAATGTTATTTTTGCCATCTTAGATGATGGTTTCTAATACTGACTACCACATAGGGTTTTTCTTCTTCTTTTTTCTTTTTTTTCCCCTTTTTCAAGTGTTTCTGTGCTCCTGTTGGAGATAGCAGCACTTAAAAGAGTTACTCTGCTGGCAATTGTTGATAGGAGTGCTGTAGAGCTGGCAGGACACTGGGTTAGGCATCCTAGCCATTCAGTAGCATGTGCATGCCTTTGGTAGGGGTACCTTTCTCACAGCAGACTTTGTGTTACAGTGTTATTCACTGTCCTTTTATACATAAACCAATATAAATAGAATGAAGCAGTGATTGAAACCTTTGGTCCCCTCTGGTTGATGGAGCATAT